CCGATTTTTTGTCGCGACTAACCGCGTTGAGGCTTGGGGCCGAGTCATCCAAAGTCAAGGTGGCGCCTTTTCTACTGACGTGACTCTCATGACATTTCCTAATTGGTTGAGGCGCGCGCGAGCCCCGATAAATTGTCTTGGTCCACCGCACACCAGCCGACGAGGCCCGCCAAGGCCCGACAAGCCCCGATCTTGGCGCAGACTTGTCTGAATTCACCGCAAGTGAAGATTTTCTGTCGGCCGACAAAAAATCGGCTAGTGTGCGGCGGCCTTTATACCCAGGACTTCGTTATACAGAGGTTCGTTAAATCGATGTTCCAGTGTACTTTGAATGTTTTTTTAACATCGGGTTAATTACTCAGTGAACACGGAATCACGACAAGATAGTCATTTAAACGTGTGTTTAAATGTTTTCACAGTCGTCACTTTCCATTTCGGGCTCTTACTTGTTATCTCCTTTTCCAAATCAAATCCAAATTACGTGCATTAAATTTTGGGTCCCTGTTTAATAGGAGTAAAGACGATAGAAAATGTTCAAAGGTGGCCGCTGCTACTTAGAGGTGGCCGTTCAGTTCATAGGAGTTTTTATTTGCAGTGTTTCAACGTGATTTCCTTCAACTAGAACAAAAAAATCAACCGTGTTATATTTGGAAACGTTCACGGCCTGGTTGCTCAAGTGCCAAACAATCGGAATAATTTAGAATCAAAATCTTATAAGCATTTAAATTTCCCTGGCAAAAGTTAAACAAAGGGAATACTCAAGGACAAAAAATATAAAGAGAAAATGCCACTGAGAAGTTGCAAAACTGAATCCACATTTCACAATTCTGTCCTCCGTACTCCGAATTAGCTTAATCGAGCTTTAAAAAAACACTCCCCCATCCAGAAGGGGGGAAGGGGGCCCCCACCCGTAAGAGGGGGTGGAAGGGGTACGGTGGGTATTCTATAAAGTCTTACATGGGGAGCCTTCGCCCCGAGGTCCAATCTCTTCCTTATATGCATGCGGCGACTGCGCCTCCTGAACGTGCGCCAGTCAAAGCCTAGCTGTTCTAGCGAAACGACACGAAAATAGTTCTTTTCTTCGCAGCTAACAAAAGCAAAAACAATGTTCAAGTTGCTTTGGCCTCTTTTAATACTTGACTCAGGAATTCTGCGTTTAATTTGACACGGAACAGCATATTTTGTTCGAAATTTTTTTCACATAATACAATCTAATATGGTTTTTGAAATTATGAATCCCTTTTCGTGAATATTCAATGCCGTCTCCAGTGAGAAAAGTTGCCCGAATTCAATGCATGCCTTTCCTGTTAACGTACATTGACGTCAGGACAGTACAGTTTTTCCTGCCTGCTGAATCCTGATTGGTCGATTCAAATTACAGGCGCACCGGCCGTTTCAAAGTAACACTTTTGTATACGATTTTGACAGAGAAGGTAACCCCTTTGTTTACCTTTTATTGAATTAAGGTAGCCTCACACATGCCTACTTAAGAACACGGCATTCCTTTTCTAAACCCATATTATACAAAAGTCGCCAAAAAAGGAGTCTTCTTATTTTCATGAAGTGCTTAAAAAAGTGAATGATACAGCCATATGGTACGTCTGTTCGAAATAATTAAAGGGCCTTTTAAATACCTAAACGATAGATTTCCCTGCCCTTTTATATACCTCAAATTGTTATGAGTGCCTGCCTGTAAAAATCGGTCAAATTCTTAATTTCGAGGCAAGGGTCGAAAATTCGATTTCGCTCATATTTTTATGGTAGATAGGCTAGGGCATGACAAAAACTACTGGGTAGTTTTTTTGGCAAAATATCCTT